ATAGGAGGCTGTTAAAGGCAAAATGCAGAAGTCACAGAGATAGAAGGAGATAGGAGGAACTGTTAGCAAATACACTTATCTAGAGGGGAGCAAGAGAAAATAAAAGATTTAAGAGCTTTGAGACCCCCCTGAAGTCAACTAAGGCTTCAAACTGTATAGTAACAAATACCAGTTTCCTAGTGACTGTGGCTTAGTTTTAAATGACTATTAATTTGAATTTTTGAGAATACTGTAAGCTGTCACACTCTTGTTTTAGGTGTAGAGGTACATGCCTTTCAGAATTAGAGTTTGGAATTGGGCTTTTTTGAGATTTTGCTATGACAAAAAATAATCACAGCATCTTGAAGGAAAGAAAAACTTAAAATCTTTCAAAACTAAACAAAGAGTACAAATAGTTCTACGAAAGACTGCAGTAAACAAACAGTCCGAATCAGCCAAATGATGGAGGGAGGGAGGGAAATCTGTCTTAAAACTCTTTCAAGGTAAGTGATTAATATATGTCTCAGTTGATAGCTCCCCTAGTAATCTCAGCCTGAGAGTTATCTATAAATGCTAGTGGAGAGAAAAAAGGCAAACTCATAAAACCTGGAAGGCACCACATTAAGGGAAGGTTGCTTTGGCATCGACTAGAAGAATGTGTGTCTCCAAATATGACTGAATCCTAATTCCTATTACCTTACCTAGTTTAACTAGCTGGTGAGAAAAGATGCTGGACATTGTGATTAAACAACTTGTGAAAATCCAAACCCAAATAATATCTTGCATTCAGTACTTTCCAGTTATAAAGCCAAGGTATAAAACACATCCCATGACTTTTGTACCTTGGAAACTAATTTCCATAAGAGGGAAGATTTTTACTAGAGTAGTCTAGACTTGGCTATTTATGTGCAGTTCCCAAAGTTTATCTTATGGCATCTTTGTAGCATTTTAAATAGCATTTTAAATGTGAGATAATGTACACTGAAATTTCCCCGTTATAGAAAGAAAACGTTATATTATTGGTCCTTATTTCTTTAGACTTCCAAGGATTTCATATTGTTCTTCAATACTCCACCTTTGAAGCATTATTATATGTGGTTAATCTTTGGTGAGATTTACAGCCTTTGGGGCTGATTGGTAACTCAACAACTCGAGTCCTAACCAAGGACCTAGGAACTGTTAAGGTAACGTCGGAGGAGGAGGAGGATGATAATGATGATGATGATGATGATTGCAACTTGGTTTTTTGTTTTCTCACTGGCATGTGCAAGTTGGGACTAATATTTCTAACACCATGTTCTTTAGCACAGGTTCTCCTCCGGGCTGTGTCCTAAGTCCACTATTGTTCACCTTGCTGACCCATGACTGTTGTGCAAGGTTTACTACCAACCATACTGTGAAGTATGCAGATGATACAACAGTGATGGGCCTTATTCAGGAAGATTTTGAGTGAAACAGGCACAGCAGTGCCTATATTTTCTGCATCGTATGCAAAGAGCCCATCTTCCTTCCTTCCTTCACTTTCTATTGAAGAACTATTGAAAGCATCCTATCATATTGTATTACTGTTTGGTTTGGGGGTATTACCTTTTCACACAGGAAGGCTATGGAGAGAGTGGTGAGGATGGAAGAAAAGATTATTGGAAGTTCACTTCCTTCTATCCAGAATATGGCATATAAGGGATGCTTAACCAGGGTCTGAAGTATAGTCTGGGATGCTACACATTCTCTCCATGACCGGTTTACTTTGCTTCTGTGTGTGTGTGTGTGTGTGTATACATTCATACATACATACATACATACATACATACATACATACATACAACTTTTGCTGATAAATAAATGAAGGGAGACTATAAATAAATGAAGGGAGACTATTTCAAGCTATTTAGCTCTCATCAGGTAGCCATACCCTTACTGGGATTTGAACTTGAGCTATTTTACATGTTAGGCAGTTGTATTTGCCTCTAAGCCACAAGCTCTTCTCCCTTATCAGCTGAGCCAGGGGAATGATTAGATGTTTTGTCAATCTATCTATATCTATATCTATCTATATCTATATCTATATCTATATCTATATCTATATCTATATCTATATCTATATCTATATCTATATCTATATCNTCAGCGCTGTCTGAAGATGTCTCCGTAATTCTGTGGCCAGCATGACTAAACGCCGAAGGTGCACAGAATGCTGTTACCTTCCCACCAAAGATGATTCCTATTTTTCTACTTGCATTTTTGCCTACTTTTGAACTGCTAGGTTGGCAGGAGCTGGGAGAAGTAAAGGGAGCTCACTCCATTATGCAGTGCTAGGGATTCAAACCGCCAAACTGGTGACCTTTCTGATTGAGAAGCTCAGCGTCTTAGCCACTGAGCCAGCGTGTCCCTCTGGAGGAATACTAGATGGCTTAAAAATCAAGCGGGGGAATAATGGCCAACCCCATTTATTGTTCCTGAATACTGCATGTTCAGCAACCAGCTATGAGTAGTGCTAACTCAGGCCAGAATGGAAGAACTTATCACAGCCACTTCGCCACAGCCAACTCGCTACAGTCAACTTGCCATAACCAATTCTCCATAGCCAACTCACCGTGGTAGAACTTGCCATGGCCACTCGCCACAGGGCTACTCGCTGCAGGACAATTCGATTTAATTATATAAAATAATTTAAAAACCTATTTTAAATTTTGTCATTCACATTTCATTTTTTCCCTCCTTTGGCTTTCTCTTCTTTAATGATTCTATCCCACTATTTTTTGATATTAGTGTAACTCTTGTCTTGTGATGAGTTGACTGTGGTGAGTTGTCTTAGACCCAACTCAGGCTACATAGTGAAGGGCTTTGGGTCTGAAAGAAAAGACTGATAGGGAGCATGCAAGGACAGCTATAGAATATTTGGCAGCAACTTCTTTAATTAAACATTTCCTAGGAATATATTGCAGCATGTGATATGGTTCCATTACTCCCACTTGCAACTGCTTTATAGAGTTGCCAGCAGATACAACATGAGTGTTTCATGTGCTCCAAATATTTTTACCCCTCCATATCTGAAATATTTGCATAGTACCTAATACTAACTATACTTGTAGATGGGTGGAGATCTTTAATGTTTTAGATTCTGCAAGAGAACAATTACAACTGAAATATATTCTAGTCCAGGGGTCGGCAAACTTAAACACTCAAAGAGCCTTTTGGACCTGTTTCCCACAGAAAAGAAAACACCGTGAGCCACAAAGGTCCTAACCGGAAGCCCCCTGTTCAATTCTGGAGCTGACTGGAAGTTCAGTTCACCATAGAGTCTGCTCCTAGCGCGGCATACTTTTTCCTCTACCTGTCATAACCGAAAGCCCTATCAATTATGGAGACAATTGGAAAGCCCTCCCCTTGCCATAGAGCCTTCTCCTGGAGCACTGTGCTTCTCTCCCCGCCACCCCCACTGGAAGCTCCTCTCAAAATTGTGGCGCCGACCAGTGACGGAGCCGCTGCAGAGGGAGGAAAGAGCCACATGTGGCTCCAGAGCTGCAGTTTGCTGACCCCTGTTCTAGGGTAACTTGTTCTAATACAGCACTACCTACATTTTACTTTGAAGACTTGCCTGACTATCTAAATTGTCCTTTTTGTCTGGATCTGATGACAGATTATTGGTCTAGTAAAGTCCGTATGTTAAATCTTTGATTGGACTGTAATAATTATTCAGTGTGGATAAATTCACAGCAGCATGCAACAACTTTGGCCTCCTTATCAACATAAAAAAGACCAAAGTGATGCATCAGCCAGCTCCGAAAGCCCAACACCAAAAGCCCACCATCACAGCGAAGGGACAAAAGCTGCAAGCAGTGGATCAATGTACATACTTTGGCAGCACTCTCTCCTGTGCAGTGACAATTGACTGCAGAATCGCCAAGGCAAACTCTGCATTTGGCAGATTATTGACCAACGTGTGGGACCACCATGGATTAAGCCTTGCTACAAAGCTTAGAGTCTACTGAGCAGTAGTGCTAACTACCCTGATGTATGCCAATGAGACTTGGACTGTATATAGGAGGCATGCTGGGCAATTGAACCACTTCCACATGACCTGCCTTTGTAGAATTCTGAGGATCCAGTGGCAGGACAAGGTGCCAGACACAGAAGTCCTCTCCAGAGCAGCAATAGCAATAGCAATAGCAGTAGACTTATATACCGCTTCATAGGCCTTTCAGGCCTCTCTAAGCGGTTTACAGAGAGTCAGCATA